TAACGAGGGCCCCTCCTGGGGAGAGGCCTGCCGAGTGGCCGGAGACAGCCTGCTCGCGATTCCGGCTGGCACCAGTGGCAGAGCGATCTGTGCCACCTTAGACATCACCACCCGCCGGAGATCCTCCTCCGATCTGGGACTCCAAGGCCGCTTGCACTCCGAGGAGATGTGCCCCTCAAGGCCACAGCGGATGCACAGCGGCAGAAAGGTGCAGTCATCCCGGCGGTGGCCCTCCCGAAAGCACTTGAAGTGTTGGCGCCGCCGCTCCTCGAAACGCCGCTTCTTCTTCCTCACACAACTCTCTCTTCCTCTTGATTCTCTCAAGAACACACACCATGGAAGAAACCGAGAAAAACACACGCACACACACACCAGGGAAGGAAGCCAACTAGCTTTGCCAAGAGGCTCTCCTCCTGGGTCACACAAGTGCTACATCTTTTCTGCCAGCCCTCACGGCTCAACTCCGTCGATTAGTACAAGGGGTTTTATACCCATTATAGCACAGGCGCACGCACACCACTAGCATCGACCCACTAACCAACTAGACGCTAACTACATGCAACTAATTCCTACATGCACGTCCAGCCCTTATCCACTCAACGGATCACAACTAACTAGATGCCCCACGTCTACCGGTCGTGTGGTTCTCCACAACAGCACAGCCACACGTTTGCTAACGCACGTGCTAAGTCAAGATTATGGCTAACATGAAGCACAAACCAAAAAGGTCTGGCAGAATCTCCCTGCGCTCCAGCGACGAAGATGGAGAGCACGGCCTTGACGATGAAGATGGAGCGCCTTGCGAGAAGGGCCTGGCCTCCTCTAGGGCACCGCCGCGCCAATCGCTGCGGGCGGGGCGGGGACGAGGGGGGCGCCGATGGCCCCGGTCGAAGATGCAGAGCCCGACGAGGCGGAGAGCCCCAAGCCCGAGACCACCAGACGCAGCCTCGAAGACACCGAACCCGGGCTCGCAGATCCAGAGGCCATGGGGGGAACGGGGAAGCGCCACGGAGGGAGGTGGACGCCGGGGACCGGGGTGGTCACCGGTGGGGAGAGGGGAGGTGGACGTCGGGGCCGGAGTGGCCACCAGCAGGGGAGAGGGGCGCTAGAGGGGGAGCCAGGAGAGAATACTGGAGATGGATTGTGTACTCTCAACACGATTTTATAGTACGATTACTTCATATTTATTATTTTTGTATGGTTATTTAGGAGCCTTGTATAAGCTAAACGTGCAGAGTTTAGCAAACCAAACAGTGTTATTAGGTTGACACTATATATGCTTAAGCAAGGCAAGCTATGCAGCTGGCTGTTGCTTTCAGAGGTAGAAAATGAGTTTTTAACCTCTCCATTATCTGAAGAGGAAGTTCGAGCCGCGGTGTTTCAAATGGAACACAACAAGGCTCCGGGACCAGATGGTTTTCCGACAGAGTTTTATCAATGTTTTTGGGATATGATTAAGGCGGATTTGGTTCAGTTGTTTAACCAACTGCATGCTGAAAACCTTGATATTGCCCGTTTAAACTTTGGGGAAATTATTCTTCTGCCCAAGACTAAGGAGGCTAGTCGTATTCAACAATATAGACCGATTTGCCTTCTAAATGTCAGCTTTAAGATATTCATAAAGGTGGCAACTAATAGGTTGAACGGGGTGGCTGACCACGTGGTCAAACCCACTCAAACATCGTTTATGCAAGGACGCAACATACTAGATGGAGTTGTTGTGCTACATGAAACTGTGCATGAGCTCCACCGTAAAAAGTTGAATGGAGTCATATTCAAAATAGACTTCGAAAAAGCATATGACAAAGTCAAATGGCCCTTTCTTTTGCAAACTTTGCGCATGAAGGGGTTTTCACCAAAATGGTGTCGATGGGTAGAGAGTTTTGTTTCTGGAGGTAGTGTGGCTATCAAAGTCAACGATGATGTTGGCAACTACTTTCAGACTAGGAAGGGGCTTCGCCAAGGGGACCCTGCTTCCCCTATTTTGTTCAACATTGTAGTTGATATCTTAGCTATCCTTGTTGAGCGGGCTAAGGTGGCCGGTCAATTTAGCGGCGTGATTCCTCATCTGGTAGAAGAAGAACTGTCTATTCTACAATATGCGGTTGACACTATACTTTTTCTAGATCATGACCTAGATAAATCTAGAAACCTCAAATTGCTTTTATGTGCATTTGAGGAGCTCTCTGGTCTCAAAATTAACTTCCATAAGAGCGAGCTTTTCTGCTTCGGCGATGCTGCAGAGTCCGCATCTGAGTATGCTGAGATTTTCGGCTGTCAGCTCGGCCAGTTCCCGATCAGGTATCTAGGTATTCCTATTCACTATCGGCGTTTAACTATCGCTGAGTGGAAGCAAGTGGAAGAAAGACTTGAGAAACACCTAGCCAGCTGGAAGGCCAAACTCTTGTCGTATGGGGGACGGATGATTCTGATTAATTCCGTCCTCAGCAACATGGTTCTATACATGTTGTCATTCTTCCACTTACCTAAAGGGGTTCTACAACGTCTCGATTATTTTAGATCCAGATTTTTTTGGCAGTGTGATAATGAATCCAAGAAATATCGGCTGGCTAGGTGGAGTATATTATGCCGACCTAAAAGTAAAGGGGGCCTTGGAATTCAGGATCTTGAGATTAAAAACATCGCTCTCTTGAGTAAATGGGTATACAAACTACTCACTGAGAATGGAGTATGGCAGGAAATCATTCGTAACAAGTACGTGGGGTCTAAAGCCATTTCTCAAGTTCATTGGAAACCCGGTGATTCACATTTTTGGAGTGGCGTGATGAAGGCCAAGGAATTCTTTTTTCAATTTCGTACTTTCTCGGTTAGGGATGGTTCTCAGGTTCGATTCTCGAAAGACACCTGGCTGGGGGCCACTCCTCTTATGGTGCAATACCCTAGCTTGTATAGGATCGTCAGACATAAATTAGTCACGATCAAACAAGTATTGGGACAAGAAAACCCTGATATTTCTTTCCGTAGGGACCTTATTGGGCCTAGTCTGGTGGCATGGAATGAATTACTCAATCGTCTGGAGGCCATTCAGCTGTCAGGCAAACCAGACAAGTTCCGATGGAATTTGCATCAAAATGGTACCTTTTCAGTCAAATCCTTGTATGCTGCAATGACCCACACTGATGTACCGGTTGATAACAAGAAATAGTGGAAGCTCAAAATTCCCCTAAGAGTGAAGATATTCCTTTGGTTTCTAAACAGAGGGGTCATCTTAACTAGAGATAACTTGGCACGACGCAACTGGCAAGGTAGCAAGACATGTGTCTTTTGCCAACATGACGAGTCCATCAAACACTTTTTTTTTGAGTGTAAGTTTACTCGTGTAGTCTGGACCATAGTTCAAATAGCTTCAAATCTATATCCCCAACATAGTGCGCGTAACATGTTCAGCAATTGGTTGCGGGGTATCGATAAACAATTTTCTGCACATCTACTCGTGGGAGCGACTGCCTTATATTGGGCACTGTGGCTCACTAGAAATGATGTGATTTTTAACAATAAATGTGTTTCATCTCCTGTGCAGGTTATCCATGCATGTACACGATGGCTCCGTACGTGGTCTATCCTGCAGAGGCCGGAGGACAGAGACCTTTTTATGATGGCGTCTACACAGCTGGAGCATACAGCCAGGGAGGTTTTCTCCCAACATGGATGGCGGTGTAATCTCCGGATAGGCATTGCCCCATCCTAGGCTGGACTGATTTACTTTTGCTGTAAAACGATATTTATTTTTAGGCTTGTTGGACATGTTGGCTGTGTGCATCACGCTATGCAAAGGCCGGGCATTCTTCAATGCGATTGTATCACCTCGATATATCAATTGAATGAAATGTTTTTTATCGAAAAAAAATGTGAGTCCACCAAACGGTAGGAATTCATTGGAAAAGTAGTCCAACTTTGAAAAGCAAATCACTCGTACCCGACGTAGCCGAGCAGATCAAAGGTTAGCACCACCCATGTCGCCCTAATCGTATATCAAGCAGTACCAATCGTAAAGCTGTGGCCTCCAGATCTTTCTGGAAGGCTCAAGACCCCAACCGATCTGTCCAGAACCTTCTAAACCCGTTTCCCATCCCCTCCCCCAAGAAATCTCCCCCGCTCCCCACTTACAAAAGAGCACTGCTATACAGCCGACACTTATTAAACGACACGCGCACGACGTTTGCCATCTAGCCATCGGCGGCGTTGTTCCTAGAGTATCCTACGGTGGGGAGGATCTATCGGCTGCACATCGTGCACACACCATCGTGTGTAGATCAATTCCGCTTACAAAACCCCCTCCATTTCGCATCCCGTCTCGCTCACCACAAGAATCCAAAATCACAGCAGAAGAGAGAGAGAGAAAGAGGAGAGAGAGAAGAGAGAGACCATGGCCTCCGCCGTCGTTTGCAAGGGCGAGGGTGCCGCGCCGGCGGCCAGCCTCCTCAAGTCCGCTGCTCCCGTGGCCTTCGGCGCGGTCCACTCCCCCGCCGTCGCCGCCGCCCGCCGCCCGTACAACACCCGGGTCAAGGAGGTCAGCCGCTACGACGACGACGACGACGACTACAGCGGTTGCGACCTCGTCATCCCCAGCTTCTTCTCGCAGGGTATGCTTCCCTTCCCCACCTGTGGTGCACCGTTTCTTTGCCTTCGTTCTGAAGTATCAACATCGCAGCGTTCTGATCTGCTTTTGGTGTCCTCGGTGTTGATTCTGCAGACGTGCTCGACCCGCTCGGCGCGCCGACCAGCATGGCCCGTCTGCTGTCTCTGATGGAGGACGTCGCAACTCAGAACGGCAGCCTCTCCTCCACTGCTGGTGCTGGGGCGTCGCGGCTCTGACGCTGGGTGGCCAAGGAGGACGATGACGCGGTGTACCTCAAGGTGCCGATGCCGGGGCTGACCAAGGAGCACGTGAAGGTGCGCGTGGACAAGAACATCCTGGTGATCGAGGGCGAGGGCGAGAAGCAGCCCTGGGACGGCGACGACGACTCCGCGGTGCCAAGGTACAACCGCCGCATCGAGATGCCCGCCGACGCGTACAAGATGGACAAGATCAAGGCCGAGATGCAGAATGGCGTGCTCTGGGTCACCCTGCTCAAGGTCAAGGAGGAGGAGCGCAAGGACGTCTTCCACGTCAAGGTCGAGTAGGTAGTGCTCGTGGAGGATGGCCGGCGCGAGAGTGTGAGAGACGCCTTGTTGATGTGGTCATGTTTGGTGTGTGTCTTCCTTGTTTTGCTTCGTTGATCGTCTTGCATCGAGTAGGTGAAGTTGGCCGCGAGTTTGGCATATGATGAAGTTGCTTTGGTGGTGAAATTGGTCATGCAATTCTGTTGATTTCCTCAAATTTGTGAACTGATTTGGTGCTGAAAATCGTCATGAAACCTTGCTGATCTCCTTAAGTTTGGCGTGCTGGACTAAATTAGTGCTGAAATCGATCATGTACTGTGTTGATTGTCTGAAGTTTGGCTTGATGAACGACCTTGATTGTCTTATGAACTTTGTCATGAACTTTGTCATTAACTTTATTGATTTAGTGGTGAAATTTGTCATGAACTTTGTTTATTGTATCAAGTTTGGCCTGATGAACTAGTCTTAAGCCAGTCTGGCCTGTCTATCTTTTCTCGTCCTTGATCTGTATTGCTTTAAGCTTTCTGCAAAAAGCTGTGCATTCATGCCAACTCTCTGAAAATTTGACTGGTCTCCTCGAGTTTGACGTCATGGAGTTGGTGAACTGGCAGTTACAGGTTGTGCTTATCCTTGAATTATTTGTGCTGAAATTTTTGCTGGTCTGATCTCCTCGAATTTTGTGTGCTTATCCTTGAGTTTAACTTCGTGTAAAAACTGCATCTGTTCCAGTTCGTAGTTATAGGGTTCTTCCGTGGACTGTCACATGAGATAGGCGTTTGTTTCTTTATGTCCTGCTTCGTTGATCTTCTCAAGTTTAATGTGACGAACTGATTTGGTGGCTCCCTGAATGTTTTGTGTTGATCCTATGTGTTTACTTCTTGATATTATCATATATACTTTGGTGGAGAAGTTGATCCTGAACTCTGTCAATTTTCCAAAAATAAAAAAGTATGGTTAACTATTTTGCTGGTGAAAATTCGTCATTAAACTTTGTTGATTCGTCATTAAATTAGCAAGTACACTACTATTTTCATGTGAGACCAACACTTGAATGCACAAGTAACAAAATGCAAAAATGTGACTCCACTCAAAATTATGCACTTAAGTTATGACCTTACTCCTAATATTTTAGTTTTGTAGTAACGCACGGGCATTGTGCTAGTTTGTATAATTTCTTTGGGTTAAACTAACACTGGAAATGACACTAATCCACCCAGGAGCTTTTTATTTTGAGCACACCATCTTCTTTCAGTTTCTGGACCCAATTCTGAGCTGTACAGCAAATACCCTGTATCAGTGGCGAATCTAGCACGGAAATGAAGGGTAGGCTCAAAGCAAATTCCTAGGTCTAATTAGCAATGTATTGCAATTATTGGATGTATAAAACACCTCGGCATAATTGGCAAGTTGTATATTTAGTTGAAATAGGATCTTTGGAGGGTAGGCTTCAGCCTATTGAAGCCCCCCTAATAGAATCGCCACTGCCCTGTATATGGTTCCAAACTGTTTGAAAATTGGTACACTTGTACACCTTAGTACGATAACACCCCAAGGCATCACCCACACACCGACCCTTACCTAGTTTGCTTTGTAGCTGCTGTCAAAGTTTGCTACAGCAAAGTGTTTGCGATTGCAGAATGCAATTCAGTGCACCTGGAACACAGGGAGACAACTCCTAGCGCATACTCTGCACACCTCACACACTAGAAACGGTGCTAAGCACCAACAATGGGCCAGGGCTCTTGGCCGTCGTGATCACGCCACTGGCATGCAGAGAGCACGCTCTGCATGCTAGCGCGCACCTGACCCAACGGCTTCGTCGCGTTCCGCGTCCCCGGCTCGCCATCGCTCGCAGGACGCCACCCGCACGCCTCTGCAAACCCCCTCGACGCCCTACAACTAGCCCCGCTAGACTCGCCGGAAGACGCGGCGCCGCTCACGTATGACGCGCCGCAGTCGTCGTCTTCCTGCACAGCCCGGACAGTCGCAGCCACGAGCTCGCAAGCACTCACACGGACCCGCCAAGTCCCCCAATACGGCTTGGCAGAGTCCGGCGTGATCACAACTGATCTGAGCTTATCCGCGGTGGTGCCATGTCCGCAACACCCACACGGCGGGTATAAAAGGCCCACACTTCACTCGCACCACCTCCTCCCTTCTCTCACACATCACACAAGCCATTGAGCACGCCCAGGATGGCCTGCCGCCGCAGAATCGAGCGAAACTCCGCCGCTTGGGCGCCCTCGCCTGCAAGGATTTTCCTCGACCCCAACCACACCACCACCACCACTTAGGATTGCCATACCTCACAGACCAAAAGCCCCACGGAGCTTCCCCAAATCTGCGACGCTTTGCTGGAGTTCGCCGGAGCCCGAAGACCGTCGCCACCGGAGAGGAAGGAAATGATGCTATCACGACGTCTTCGGAGGAGCTACGAATACGAGGAGGATCGCCCACTTTGCGTCGTTCCAACGCACCCACCCCCGTGCTCCGCCGTGCCCTCTACGCCGATGAATGGCCACCGGTGAGCCACTGCTCCAATGACCGTGCAATTTTAAACAAAAACCTGACAGGTGGGGCCCACCTATCGGCGACTCATTTCCACCCCGAAGCGGCACGTAAGTGGAGGCGCATTTCTGAAATACGCCTTCAACGTGGACACCATGGGGTTTTCTGTTTAAATCGTTTTTGTTTTATTTTAATTGTTTTGTTGACCCAACTTTGACGAGTGATAACTTTTAAATTATAGGACCTTTTTATTTGATTGTTTTTCTAATTTTTAATGAAATTCTTTATTTGTTGATTAAATTTGGGATTTATTTGACCTGTTTGGAATTTATGGGCAAAATATTTGACTTTATGTGTTATTTACAAAAGCAATTTTAAATTATTTCCGGAAGGAATTAATACATGACGTGAAGATTAGGAGTTGTGTTGCAGTTCACTTGAGCAAAGCAAGCTACCACCTCCATTTGCTTGATGGCATTGTAGGCCATGGGTTAAAATTTGTAATTTCTTCATTTTATGGTAGTAACTAAATTAAGTTTTAGATTATTTTTGTGCTAGAATGTTTTCCATGCTAGTGTCATTTGTTTAGATACACTAGTAGAAAAAGGGCCATTCGCCGGTTCTTGAGGGCTATTTGTCCCGGTTCCCGAACCGGGACTAAAGGGTCGTAACTAAAGCCCTCTACCTTTAGTCCCGGTTCGATCGGGAACCGGGACAGATAGGGCTCCACGTGGCTGGAGCGGCTTGCCCATGCAGGGGGGCCTTTTGTCCCAGTTGGTGCCACCAACCGGGACCAAAAGGATGGGTTTTTTTCTGAGGGGGGGGGGGTTTGTAGGGTTAATTTAGAGGTTTCATATATTGTGTTAGCTAGCTAATAGACAAGAGTGTCCTCTCTTATCTCTGTGCTTGGTCGACGCTACGTATAGAGAGGACTCGACACACTAGCTAGCTAGTAAGCAAATGAAGGAAACCATTAAAATACAGAAGAGATCTCTTACGTCCCTTAACATCTGAACTCAACTTCCACATGGTATTCTACGTGTTTGTCGATGCCGTGGTCAAGAAAGAATCCCACCAATTCCTCTTGAATTGCTCGTATGCGATCTTGCGGTAGGAGGTCATCCCGCGTCTGCCTCATCTATTTTCAAGAAGGGGGTCAATACACATATATGAATGAAACTGAACACAAATGATAGTAATAAAATAAAATTATGAATATTATTGCTTACGCACTTCATATTGTTGTTTAGATTAGCCCCGCTCACAGGTGGTGCGGTGGATGAACTCGCAAATGTAGTATCCACACAAATCATTTCCGGGTTCCTGCCACAACCACTTTACAAGAAATAGAGGTCAATCGAACTAATAAGCAAGCATGCTAAAATGGTATTAATGAAACTAGCTAGAATCAATGGGAGATGCGCGGAACTAGCTAGTAGCTAGTACTTACTTTCGGGTGGTCAAATCGCAGTTGCGCCGGCAGTCCCGGAGCTTGTGCGGTGAACTTTTTCCAAACCCTGCCAGACAAAAAAAAAACAATTACTTGATATCAGGAAATGAACAAAGTTGCCGATATGGTGCGATAATGATCGATTGAACTTACTTCTCGAGCATTTTAGTCATGGTCGCATACTCCTCCGGATTTTTTCGATTGGAGTCTATGACGGTTACTAGTCCCTGCTCAAGCTTAGTGTCTGGTAGAATAAAGTGGAACCTGCTTTTTCGCATGCATAACTCATCAATTACATTACTATAACCTCGAGTAATAAGGGAAACCGAATATGCACAAGACAGTAACACTCACTTGTATTCGTAAGGAAAGAGTATTGTAGCTTTGTTTTGATTTCGAAGTAACGATGCGAGCAACTTGGCCTCGGTTTGTCTGGCATCATGTTTAACACTCCATTCATCCATGAGATTTGTGTTAATGAACCCAATATCACCTACTTGTCTTCTCTTCAATATGGCGATCTTCAATATGCATAATATAGTGAGGATAATTATATGTACATGCAATGAAAGAGCTGAGCTATATATAGACACTTAACTAATTACAGAGAAGTAGTACTTACAGACAGTAGCAAGTGATGATTGTTTTATCGAGGGCTGATAGCCTCTTTCGATAAGTAAGAGTGTCGAACCCAACGAGGAGCTAAAGGTAGAACAAAATACTCTCTCAAGTCCTATCGGCCACTGATACGACTCTACACACGCTTGATGTTCGCTTTACCTAGAACAAGTATGAAACTAGAAGTACTTTGTAGGTGTGATAGGATAGGTTTGCAAGATAATAAAGAGCACGTAAATAAAAAGTAGGGGCTGTTTAGATAAAGAAGCAATAAAGTAAATATAGCGAGTGTGGAAAAGTGGTGGTAGGAGTTGTGGAATTGTCCATAAGCAATTGACTACGTTACTAGACCGGTAATCACTATTGCAATTCTATTTGAGGGAGATGCATAAGCTAAGATACTTTCTCTACTTGGATCATATGCACTTATGATTGGAACTTTAGC